GACTCCATCTTTCCAGTAATCTCCATCAGTCTCAGGGGCTTTCACAGAAGAAAACAAAATATTAAATGCAAAAACATTATTGTTTTTCATTTAAGTCTAAATTCTGCGAATGTCAATTTGGACTTTTTAGTTGGCTTTTTCTCTGGAGCAAGCTAGTAAATGTTTTACAAAGCCTTATTTGTAGTCATTTGGGTTTTGTTTTATTAATTGAGAATCTGTGAAGAGCATCTGTTACTCTGTGTCCACAGCATCATCTCAGCTCCATTTGGTGAACTGTTCTGCTGGCTTAAGAGCATCTTTAAAGCTAACAAGAAGCAGTTAGGACAACAACTGTAATTGGATTTGTAATCCAGAGGCTCTGTCTGTCTTGCTTGCCACTGCTCTCAGAAGCTAAAGGAGGGGAGAAGAGAAAATATCACATTCATCTGCTCCCTTGTGAACTGCTGTCATGAAAAGGGACGTCCTGCTCAAGCTGCTGCCTGCTAGAAGGGTGCACAGAGCTCCCAGTGTTGAGTCTAGCAGGGACCTGTTTCATATCTTGCTGGCTGGTGGTGGCTGGTTGTCTCTTCTTACTGGGGCAAACCCAGTTGCCCTAGGCACTGCTCAGACATCAAGCAAGAGGACCAAGTTTGCTCTGAAGAGCAAAGTGTGATATACAATAAGGTTGCAAATGTTTTACCTTGCAGGTTTTTGGAACAACACTGCCTCTCTTTGGGAATTCACTGCCACCTTAGTTAGAAAGGGTTATTTGACACAATTGGAAAATGCGTCCAAGGCTGGAGACCTCAGCTCACTAAATCAGCCTGATGTTTGTTGATGAAGTGTGTGTGAGCTCAGGCGCCAGGCAAAAGCTCATGAAATGCTCTGCACTGGGGCTTAGAGAGTTGAACAGTGATATGGCTGGACAGCAGTAGGCTTTGGAGCCTCTTGCCTGATTTGGCATTCACCATCCTTGCTCTGTTGTAGTGAGTTTGGCTTTGTCTGACGAACTGACCTCAGTTCTTAAATTATGAGCAGTTAAAACTGCAGTACAACTGTGGGTTGCTTGAGTCAAGTGGAGTTGAATGCCTTCGCCATGCTTGTTCAAACAGCTGAACTCAAATAAGGCAGGCATTCATGTTTACCCATGTTCAGGTGCCATGGGAATGCTTAGTGGGAAGCACAGCACATACTGATCAGGGTAACCCTATTGAAATCAGGGCCAGGGTGTGAGGTGTGTCTGCAAGCATGTATTTGTGCATTTGGGATTGTGGCAGTAGCAATTATGCAGTAATCCACCTTGAAGGAAGCCCCTCTGGGATGTCTGAGACCTTCCACACTTCACTTTCTCCCTACTGGGGTGGTATAGAGTTAGTCCCTGTTGCCCAAGTTGTGTAACAGACTTAGTTCTCAGCCCTTAGTTTTAGGACTGGATTATGGGGTGGATCAGTGATAAATCTCATATTAAAGAATGAGTTGTAAAGGAGAAGTGTGAGGCGGAAGAAAACATTTGAGATGAGGGTAATGCTGCCCATTCAGCAGTGCTGTAGGCTGGCTAGCAGCTGAATGGATGTGTGTTGGCAGCTCTTACGATGATGTCTTTCTTCTTACTGTTGTTAACGATGGGCTTTTCCTGGATTGGAGGAAAGAGCAAACAAAGACCTGGTGCTCTCTTCTGTGCTTTCTCAGTTTGAAATCACACTTTGTTATGGGAGAGGTGAGGGACACTTTTCCGTTACAGCAGCTACCTCCTTATTCCCTGTCATCTGTGCTGAAGTATCTCATGCTCCTGCAGAGTTTTAGGCTGCCATCAGTGCTCTTGATTTGTATATTCAATTCGTCATATCCCAGAACTAGGTTTATTCTTCCCAAATATACTTTATGTGTGTGACCATGAAGATAGCCCGAAACCTCATCTCATTTCCGTGGCTAAAGCAGCAACACTAAATTCAATGATGAATACTTCATGAATGAACTTTTATTCATTTTGGAGTTTTATTTCAAAGGGTATGTGTTATAGAGGGCTCTAAACCATAAAATTATCCATGCGAATATAATCTCAATGTAATGCCATTGATCTAATTTAGATTTCTTCTTTGTCTAAAGACTGTTCTGTCCACCTCCCACCACCTCCTGAATGTCTGTGGTTTGGTGGAGCCAAGGCATTAGAAAGATGTCTTTAACGACAAAGAGTCAGTGGCTTGATGGAATGAAGGTTATTGCAGTCCTAGGGCCTTGGCACAGGCAAGGTACAGGGTTAACATATCAGAAAGGAGGCAACTGCCTTGCCCAGGGTAAGCTGATAAATGTTAGCAGGTAGAGGGAAAGAAGACTGAATCCTGGAACTATCACTTGGGCTAAGGAACACCTGCTATAATCACAGAAGGCATTTATAATCATTACTTTTCAGAAGAAATTCCTTCACTGGATTACTGGCAAATGGTAATTATACGGTAAGGACAAACTGCAGATATATTCTCTAGAATCCTGGAAAACACTTAGCTGGAATGGGAAAAACACCCTGGTTAATCTCTTTAGCGTGTTACTCTTTCTGTTTAGAAACTCAGAGTCCCACAGGATTAGTTCTAGGACCTGTGCTGTTCACAGCAACCCAGAAGAGCAATCCAGACACAACAGTGGCCTCAGCATTGGTCATTTCTCAGGTGAAGGGGCTAAGGGAAGGGCATGGCCAGCCCCACAGACATGTCTGCAGAGTGAGTGCTGATGGGCAGCCCAGAAGCCAGGGGGTAGGAAGGGCAGAGTGAACAACATTCTGCTGCTCTCTAACTGCTGAGATGTGCAGGTTTTCCCCCCTTTCTTTAAAAGGACAGAGAGGAATTTGAAAAGAAACAGAGAAAGATAATCAAAGGCATAAAATGAGTTTGGCATGAGGAGAGGGTTAAATAGAAAAGCATTCTTCAGTTCCACAAGAGATATCAGACAGCAGGGATGATAAAGGTCTATAAAATCACTGAGAAGGTGGAAAAGGTGGCCAGAGAGTGATTATTCACTGTTTCTCACAATAGAGGAACTGAGGGGAGTCAAAAGAAATTATCAGGCAGCAAATTTAAAATGAGCAAGAAATACTTTGTCCACATGACAAACAGGTTGTGGAACTGATGGCCACTGAATATTGTGGAGTTATAAATGAGATCAAGAATCCACGGAAGATAGGTCTCAAAGCTTATTTTAAAAATGAGGTATGGATGCAACTTCTGTGGAATTTTCTAAGCTATAAAGCTGACAGTTGCCCCATTTTGTACCATGGCCCTAAACTTCTGGTACCTGACAAAGACCCATTATAGTCTAACTAGATCTGGCCCACCATGTCTTTTCCATGTACTCAAGTACACATAGCTTGTGGTATTCCAAAATACATTGTTGCTTTTCTTGGTTTTGGCTGTGTCTAGACAGGTATCTTTGGAAGGTTTTGGGTCTGTCCTGGTGCAGGACTGAGCTCCACAGATCAAGCAACAAAGTTTGGATCTCAGTATGCATGAAAAAATATTCGAGTGACATCCAGTACTCTGGCATGACGCCTCTATTCCCTCTTTTTTCTGTCCCCACAGTAAATTGCTGATGACTTTCACAAGGTAGGATAGAGCATGTATACAGATACATATATTCCTTAGATGAAAAGAGTGTTGGAGAACATTATGTAAATGCATCTGAATTAGAACTATTCAAAATGCTTTAATTCTTTCATCCCTTCACTCTGCAAGGAACAAGCCAGCACCTAGCTGTAGGTGTGGGCTACTATGTGCAGTCCTGGGCAGCTGTGCTCCGGACTTGACGTGCTGTCTGCTCTGCCCGTGTGCAAAACAGCATGGATGCAGAGCTGTCCGCAGAGACCCTCCATGCAGGACTCCTGCTTCTGCTTCAGAAAGACCTGATGTCCTGAAATCCTGGACAAATAAGCTGTGCTAGGTGATGCTGAAGAAGAAAATGGATCCAAAATCTCACTTGTGTGCCATTAAGTCCACAACTGTAAAAAGTGCTGTGCCACCAGGATAGAAGAGAAATACCTTGGCAAGTGCAGTGATTCCCAAGGTTTATTAGTCTGCTTAGTGCTTAGGGGTAGCTGGAAGCTGTGCTCTAGTTACTGTTATAATTGAATCATTTATTAAAGTTTCCTTCCTTTCAGCAAGAGGGCTTGTAGCTGGGGTTCTGAATGCAGATTGTCTTGTCAATCTGATTACCATTTTAGTTACACCTTTTCTACTCTCATGTCTGTTATTCCAGTTTTTAGCCCTGTAGTCAAGATAGAGGGGTAGAAATCAGGCAGATGTATGCTGCAGCCCTTTCATTTGACTATGTAATTGCTGCCTTTAAGAATTCAAGCAAGACTGTCTCCGTGGTACTTCTCAGTTTCACACTGCTTGTAGATGAAATGCCTGGGCAGACAGAGCTTGCAGAAACTGCTGTCTGCTTGCACCGAGATAGTTGATAAGGACCCAGAAAGCCAGGAGTTTTTCTTCCATGTGTCCGTGATGCCATGGCAAAAGTGGCCATTTTTCTATCAATCAGGATTATTTTAATGTCTTTAAGAAACTTGCTTCTAAATCTTCATAGCTGCAATTCTTTTGCATTTTGATAATTTACCTCTCTAACGTTTGCTACTGTCTATCCTATGTCAGTGATTTCAAACTCTCCCCCTGAAACTGGCAGGCATGGAGTGACCAGCTGGAACAGAGCAGGGTAATGAGTGCCTTTTCTACACCTACAAATCATAATTAATGCTAGAAAAAAAACTTGACAAAAGAGTTATGCTGCATTCCTTGTGTCAGCTGTGGAGCACAACAAAGCTACAGTTGCTCCCAGTGGAGGGTGTTCATGCCCTGGAGCTGTGCTCCCAGGAGTGTTGTTACATGAGGTTTTCCCTTCCATCTGGGAGTAGTAACATCTCTTTTGAACAGCTTTAGACAGCGGGCTGAATGCATGCAGGACCTGCATCATCTCTCTGCCTCTTTGGAGCCCCATCCATCCAGGTAACAATCTCTTTTTTGGTCTCGTTCTTCTAGGGATATCTATGCCCATTCCGGTCATTGGTTTACAGGATGACTCCAGGGTGTTCGTAAATGGGACCTGTGTCCTCAATGATGAGAACTTTGTCCTCATTGGATCCTTCATGGCGTTCTTCATCCCTCTCATCATCATGGTGATCACATATTGCCTGACCGTCCAAGTTTTGCAGAGACAGGCAACAGTGTTCATGTGCGGAGAGGTGCCCAAGCAGAGAAGAAGCAGCGTAAACTGCCTCAAGAAGGAAAACAACACAGAGAATATTTCAATGCTTCACAATCACGAGGGAGCATCTCACTTGAACTCTCCTGTAAATAAGGAGGCAGTGCTTTTTCGGAAAGGAACTATGCAGTCCATCAACAACGAGAGAAGAGCCTCCAAGGTCCTAGGCATAGTCTTCTTTTTGTTCCTCATCATGTGGTGCCCATTTTTCATCACTAATGTCATGTCTGTCCTTTGCAAGGAAGCCTGCGATAAAGACCTCTTGAGTGAACTCCTTGATGTGTTTGTTTGGGTGGGGTATGTTTGCTCTGGGATTAATCCCCTCGTATACACACTCTTCAATAAAACGTACCGCAGGGCTTTTTCCAATTACATCCGTTGCCAATACAAGACCAGTAAAAAATCAGCGCTGCGGCAGAATCAGTGTCTGAATGTTGCTTCAACAGCTTTATATGGGAAAGATCTGACTTTAACTAGTTATCGAAATGGCAATGAACTGAATAGCATGGAACTAGATGAGGAGGGCCTTGAAATGCAACCCGGGACTTCAGAGCTCTCCATAAACAGCTGTAATGTTGTAAGTGAAAGAGTGAGCTGTGTGTAAAAGTGGCTTACACAGCCTTTTGCTACGGTGTATCTGTAGCCAAAATACATTGTGTAAAAATGTAAGTGTTGGTCAAAGGACAATGTAAATATTGCATTCTGAACAAAGTTGGTTGGTTTTTTTTAAAGAAAAAAAAGAGTTATCTTTCCAGTACCTAAAATCATATCTATTAATATACTGCAGTGAAGTTTAAGGTTCTATATTTACTGTTAATACTAGATCAGAACTATTAGTTGCTTTGCATATGTCATGGACAAAATGTTTGAATTCTTTTTCAGTGCATGAACAAAACTGCTGAATATTTATCTCAGGTGGCATTTGCTGGCGTCCAGAATGGCACATTAATAGTTATATATCAACTACATGCTATTAGACTTGGTCAGTATAACTTTCTTTTTCAAGTTGACAGTAAATATATACTTTAAATCCTCACCCCTATTTGTGCCGTGTAAAGACTGTACAGAAACCTGGCAGAGAGAAGTCATTAAAGCGTAGTGGTTGTGCAGGCACCTGGCCAGACATGTCCTGTTACAGGTAGTGGCTTGCTGCCATACTGGGGCAATCTTGCACTTCACAGGACCTCTGTTAAATTCTTACTCCCTCTCCAATCCTGCTCTTTTCTTTCCATTCCCCAGGAGGCTCCAGCTCCCCTCAGGAAGGTGGGCAATGCAGGTCTGGTGTGGTTGTGCGATCTTGGCTGGGATCACTTGCACACTTGGAGAAGAAGCATGAGAAACAGAGTGAACCCCAGTTATCTGCTTCAACCATTTTATAAATGGAGTGCCTCAGATTTATAAAAAGCCCTCCTTTGGTCTTATAGATAATCGTCAGCTATGGCATGGAGCAGGCTGTGCTCAGTGCGGATGGCGCTGCCTTCACACATTGCTTGGATGATCAGGGTCTTTGGTTGACCTGGAGAAGAGTGCTCTGGCTTTGTACAAGCTCTTGTCTTCTTGGTCCTCACATCTATTCATTCCTTAGCTTGTTTAGAATTTGCTTTTATTTTTCTACATCCTGAGTCTTGCAGTGCTGGTGATAAAACACTGCTTGGGTGTAGAGCAGAAGCTGCTGTGCGTGTGGTGCTGGTTGGGGTCAGGCTGTGAGGTGCAGCATACACCTCCCTGGGGGATGGTCAGGAGAGAGGCATAAATGAAGGTCCTGCTCGTTGCTGCTGTCTCAGGAGGGAGTGGGCAGAGCTGGACAGAGTATGAGACTGAAATCTTTTGTGGTGATGTGGTTCAAAAGCAAATGATAACCAAGGACAGGAAGGAAGCAGACCTGGAGCTAGTCTACATGGAAGATTAATCTGGATTAACTTTTAAATTTGATTTATTCCATTTCACTCCCAAAGTAAATTATAGTATATCATATTAACATCACTTACATCTTAATGAAAGCATTAAGGGATTTAATGCAGTTTAAGTAATCTGCTTTTAATTCACACCATGTATAATTTGAATTAATTTTCCTCTGTGTTCCTGTGTAGACAAACACTCCAAGGCATTGTGTCTTTCTGGTACCGTGCCTCTGGGGTGATGCCTCTTACGCAATTTTCCTTGTGTAGAGCATTGTCTAATGCCCGATATCACCCATACAGTTTTTACATCTTCATTAACTAATATGGAAATGCTGCAGTGCCCATCTAACATGGATGCATTTAGCATTACTGACAGCCTCTGGCTATGTAAATCCTCTGAACAGAAAAGCTTACACTAGCCATGGATAAATTGCATTTTACTAACATAAACTGCTTGCTGTGTTCGTCCCACCAAAACTAACTTGTAGAAGAAATGGAAAATTCTGCTAGTGCTTTAGCGTAACATTGCACTGTTGCGTTGCTGTGTACAGCAACAACCTCACTGAGGCCACTACTGAAACATAACACACAGGTCACATCTGCTGCTGAGTTGCTCCCAGCTTGATGAATTGAAGTTGATGGTCCTCTCTTCTCCCTCATCCCCTCCTGGGAAAAATCTGTAGTACTTCCATGCAGGCATGTATCCCAGTACAGAGCGTAGCTTACTGCTTGCAGAAGGCAGCAGAGATGCACCATATGCCAGCCTGCTGATACCACCACTGGCTTGAATGCTCAGGAATTCACTTCCTTCCCCAAAAAGGTATGGTAACCAGTAGGAAAAGGATTGGACAGAGACACAAACTTGTGCCTTCAGTGACTGTCCTTTGCTCTGAGTCAGATTTTACTATCTATCTCAAACAGTACAGAAAAATCAGAAAGATCACATCATTGCTTTTTAAGTTGTGGGGTTTTTTTTTTCCTTGGGTGAATTTATAGCACATTTTTTCCAAACATGTATATGTGTGTGTGTATATATATGTGAATTTACATATATATACACATATATATATTTAAAAGCCAACTACAGACTTTGAATGCATTTAGCAATAAGTTGAATTACAGTAGCTTCTAGCATATGTGTGAATAGGTCATGTGTGAATAGCTCATTTTCCACAGCATCCTTGAACTTACCACACCCAGGCATTGTTTTCACATAGGAGCCTTCATGTCTTACCCTTGCCGGTTCTGTTGTATGGGCAAAAAGGGAGCCTACTCTATTTGGATGTAAATAATGGGAACTGAACAGAGAATTTACAGAATTTTTATAAATGTTTTTAAAAATTCAGCACCAGAACTGTAAATATGTCAAGCATTGTGACTCAGCTGGACCCATACTGATGTATGTCACTTGTGTAGATAAGCAGACAAGGGGACTGCCTTACAGCGCCCGAGTTCTCTCCCGGCCAGCGGGTGATAACATTTTTGTGAATGGTTAAATACTGTCACTTACCCAACTTCCTTTGGGTCATTCACATCAGGGTTTTGTGATGCTGCTATTAATTTATTAAAGAAGGTTTGTTGGTTTAATCACTCTTAATTTTTTTTGTGGTCTATCAGAAAATAAATAAATGAATGTGCCCTCTCTTTCTTTTATCTGTCCCCAATTAAAATCTTTCTTGACTGAAAAATATGTCCTGACCAAAAAACAATACAACAACAAATAACGAGGATAAGGATGAGGATAACTTTCATTTCTCCTCCCACACTTGAAGTATGGCCCACAGTTACTTAATCACAGAAATTAGTCTCAGCAGATATCCCAACACTTCCAACCCCAAAAATTGTTAAATAGGAAAAGTGATAAACTGTTCCCCCTCTTCTCCTTGCTCCCTCCAGGAATAACTGTTAAAAATGACATTTTTTTAAAATAACCTCAATTTGAAGAATGGATTTAGTTCTCCGCAACTAACCAAAGTCAGGCTATCCCCACAGCAGCTTTGCTTCTCCTGAGCTGTAGTCATTAACCATGGTGGTGCCTCAAGAAGCCCTACCCTGGGCTGGGAGTACCTGCTGGAAGTTTTGTGTGAGTCCTCAAATCTTGGCTCAGGTACAGTTTTGTCTTATGAACAGTGTGTATGGTGGTGTTTTGTTTTGAGTTTGAACTGAACAAGTGAAAATAGTTCCATGGAAATCATGCTGTAGGCTGAAACATGGTGGTTGCTTTGTTTCCCAAACCAGATGGGAGATGTGCAGGCAGGCTGTCTGCGAGACAGAGTGTGCACATAGAGGCTCCAACTCAGCCAACAGTCCACCGTTTGCATTGGGAAGTCTACTGGTGGGGTCAGCCCCTGAACTAGCACCTCCCCGAGCTGTAGGGGCTTGCAGCCTTCCCCACCAGAGGCCAGAAGCAAGGCTGGCCATATTTGCTCAGGTACAAAGCTTTGTGGCTGAGCAAGCTGGCTTTCAGACCTGAGATGGCTCATCTACTTCTGTTGCCCCACACAGCTGAGTCTGTGTGGGGCATCCATGGAGTCAGCCGTGGTGGCTTTGGTGACCTCTGAGGGCCTCAAAGGCTGTCCTTTGAGGACAAGGGCCTGCTTCTTCAGTCCTGTGCTCACTGAAGATAAGAGCAGCTACCCAGAGGCTGTGGCATCGGGGAGGTGACACAGTTCAGAGCCTCAAGGCATCCCACCTCAGCATAGCTCTGATGTTTTAATGACTTGTGAGTCAGCAATAGTTTTTATCTGAGTGGTAACTTAAATATACTAATGTTAGGTGATTTGTGAGTAGTCAGTGTGAACAGTGTGGTTAGTGCCTTTTTCTCTGTAGAGACATTCATGTCAACCATTAGTGCCTTTCTTCTGGACAGCCCTACAAAGAGGTTCATCGCTGGCATGGAGTGCAGCCAGTGCTCTTCCCTCCAAGTCAGCAGGCTGACTGCAATCATCTGATGTGCTAGACCACAAAGGCTGGATATGGAGACCCAAATTCAAAAGGAAAAACATATTTTAAAGAAAAAAAGCAAACTACAAGCAGCTCTTCAGAAATATTATTTAACTTTGAACTGATGAAGGGTATCTGATTTTCTTGAGACAAATCATGCTAATCTGACATTCCAAAAGCAGCATCCATCATGTGATAAAGATGCAGATGTCTCTTGGATGGGTTTCCTCCCTGGGTCACAAGTATCATTGGGATAGCTACATGCCAAGCCAAGAACTGCACGTGACTTTGGCTCCATTTCAGACTGGGGTGGAAAAAGCATCAGAAGCTTTTTCCTGGGCAAAAGTATACAAAGACCACCAAGACTTGAGCAGGTGCAGCAGAAAACCAGAGATGGACAGATGTATGCACACATCTGCACACATGAACACACACATCCCAGAGCTCCTAGAGAGCAACAGGAGATGTCATCATGCTTCAATCTTCCCTTGAAAAAATGGGAATAGCTGAACAGCTGGGGCAGAAACCTGTGATGGGGAGATCAAATGCAGCTGCAGGTGTCACCGTGAAATGTGGGCTGTTCTGGTGATGATGTAGTGGAGGGGGTGCATGTACCAAAAAATGCTTTTATTTTTTGTTTTTTAACTCTGAAGTTGTTATTGACTGTTCTGCCTTTCCCTCATTTTTCTTTAAGTCTCAGATCTTCTGCTTGTTTGCTTTTACCCACGTTGAAACTTGTGCTCTGAAGCTGTCAGAAGTTGACAAAATATCCATGTGATGTGTCATTCCCTCTCAGCTGTACAGGGATGCTGCAATCCCATAACAACATGGAGGTGGAGAGTCTTCAGGTGAGTGATTTTTAGATATATATGAGACAGCCAATCAATGCAGCAAGGCATACTTGCCGATTAAAGAACCACACCAGAAGGTCTTT